CCCAAAACTCACCGAACATTTTTTTTCCTTCCTCACTGATGTGACGAAAGGGTGCCCAAGTCGATTCTCTTTGCGATTCCGAAGACGCTATTCTTAGACGTTTCCACGTGGAATACTGGAGGTATCACCGACGTAATGATTGTGCACTCTGCTGCGCAACTCAAATTCGTGTTTGGTTGTTAAATATGAGGGGGTATCGGTATTGCTGTTTCAAGTCTATACATTCCCACTTAATGAGGAAGTAAATACGAGAGCTCAGAACTAGTGTTTGCTTGATGGACGCTGAGGCATCAGAATTGGTGTTTCGACTTAACACATCGGCACATGATCGAGATCTAAGAGACATTTGTGAAAAATCGCAATGCTCCATCGGTTGCCATTGTTTAGTGGCTGCATTTCTTGTTACGGTATTTCGTACATGAAGTTTAGATAATCAGACCTTAATGTAAGCAATATCAGCACGAAACTATAGAAAGACAATTTTAAAAAATGTTAGTTCAAAAACAATAGCCAGCAAGATGGTAACTGAACAAAAAATAATGAATGGCACTGTTTTTGATGAGCACGCAGAAGATTGTTTTTCAAACACTTTATTGCTCCGTCTTCACAGTATTTTTTTTTTGCATTGTGCAGATCCCGGTACTTCTAGCATTCAATACTTTATTTCGTCTTCTTCTTGAACGTCGCAAAACAGTGATGGAGCACGCCTTCCTGCAAATTTGAGGATAGCCTGGCTGTGGTGTTCCATAGGACGTTGTTGTTGACCATCGGAAAGAGCTGGGGTAGAACTCGACTCCGCGCGTCGCGACGAGCATCGCAACCACTCAGCCGTTGTGCTCCCAAGAAATTTGTTTATACTACTCCATATTAGCGATAAGTGGCGTATTTGGCTATTTTGGCTTGTTCAGAGCCTCGAAATGTTAAATGGGCATGCAATATGCTAAGTCAAACATTTTCAAAACCCGCAGTAGGAACAGCTTGATACACAAATCTTTATTGATAAACTAAGCGGCTCCTTTCGAAAATTTTTCGTTACATTGTGCATAGGTCCTCCACTTAGACAATAAAAACCAGTTGAGCAGCCCTAGATGGGCCAGGAACCTGGTTGAAATCATAAATCCAGCCTGAGGAGTGAAGTCAAGCGTGATTAGTTGCTTCTGCGATCATTTTTGAGCTCTTGAAATCAAGTCAAAGCGTCCAATAGTTCTAAGCTGCTGATTTTAGAAACCCAAAACCCACGAATCAGGAACTCACACATTTTATTGGTCCTTAAGGTTCCACAAAGAATTCACAGATGGCTTGCACTGTAAACTCATTCAAGTGCTAGTTCAAGAGGCAGTACTGCGGCAAAACGTCACCTGAGTGCTGTTAGATTTCGCGTTACGTGAATGATCCACGAACATTTGGCTGTTCCTCATATGAGATGGTATGTGTTCTGGCTAGATTTATAAACCTCGCTAGACTATCAGTATGTCTCTCTAACCAAGCCCTAGTAGGTCTGGTCATGAACTTCGAAAAAACCAATATACGAAAAATCAGCAATAGATACTGATTTATGGCTATAGTTTCTGATTGACAGGTGTAAAAAAAGCATGTTGGTTATTCAATCATCATTTCTGAAACAACTAATAGCTTCAAACGTGCCTTAAACGTCAAATCGACCATCTAATTTTCTTGTTTCCGGTACTAACAATGGATGCTCTTTTCTGTTACTCGCGGATAGAGGACAGCGTCTTCAAAACGTTTTCCTTTATTTCGACATCGAAGTGAGAGAAAGTTTTGAACTTGCCATTTTCAACACAAACAGATAATCTGGAAGTTTTATTCTCCAACCATATACATATCACATTTTGAACAGCTGTGAAGCTGGGATTGAATAAAACGTGGTGCTTTAAACATCATTAGAGCTTTACTGCATAGGGAACGCTCAAGGAACGATGTGTGCGTAACGCTTCTACTTCTTTTTCATTATTCTTATTTTAACGTTTCTGCTCTATTAGAGTAACGAAATCTATCTATAAGCTCGTGGGGAATACATGCAATAATACGCAAGGATTCTTTGTAAATGAATGATGCTGGTGAGGAGATTGAGGTCAGTTCAGATAGCGACTTGGGGTGCCGATAGACACTATCATGCTTTTTGACAAGGTGGCCTTGGATTTTCTAGTTCGATATAGACCCTAGTTTAATTCTTGGGAGCTTTACAGGCGGCGTTTCTATGATTAATTGAAGCGATGTCTAGCATTTGGCTTGATAAGACTGCAAATCATTATCAACTTAACCATTATCTTTCTTCCATAGGTGATCCTCTAAATCTGACCACAGCACCTTTTTCTAAATAGAATTCCATTCCACGAAACATTCCATACTGTTCCCATAATAAAGGGGCGTGAAGTCAGCGCAATCCGATGCCGTGTACTTGATGGTTGGTCACCGCATAATTCGTACAGCCTTTTTCCTTCAATGAGTTATGGGCATAAACGGTGGACATAGTTGTAAAACAAAGACGATGTTCTCTGCTGTTGACTGACTACGCTGACATGTTGGAAATATCTTGCAGGGCTTAACGTACGATTTATCGAGAACCATTTCTATTTCAAATATGTTTAGAATTGGGGGCCTTTCCAAAAAACTGAGAGCCGAGCTTAAATTTTTTCTATTAGGTGGGATTTCGCGGACTCATATTATTTTTTGTTTGAACCATGAACCAAATATTGCAAAACATGAAAGTTTATGAAGTATTAAAGTTAGTCGTGATGAAATAAAATCACTGGTGTGTCATAAAAGTCGCCCCGCTCGAGATCTAATCGCAAGAAGACGCCACAAGAGGAGGAATTTGTTACTGAAGAGGACATGAAGCGGTGGTTCAGAACTACGCAGGAAGAAGATGGTAATCAGATGAAAGCAAAATGAACGAGAGTGCTTAACACTGTCTCGCTAGTAGACAGTGGTGTGATAAGCCAAATAGTATGTGAACGCAACGGTTGTTGACGCTGGAAGTTGAGCCTCGAAAAGTTTCTTCGTTTTCAATTGACTTCCGTTTAGATAACATGTTAGCGTTAATTGCAACTAGATAATAAGTTATGATTCGGAAAGAAAGACGGCTGGTCGTGATATAACCTTTTTGATGTTTTGTGAAAAAACATAAACGCAAATGTAACATTGGTCAAAGTGGTAGACCTGCCCCAAGTTCTGTGCTCTTCTTATGGATGCAGACTCCTTCATCGAGTCTTATTTGGAAGCCATCATTTCTCTCTTGTGAATGGGGACTACCCATGGCATTGCAAAAGGTATTGTACTTGTAAATGGGGCCATAGAGTCCTCCAGAGTTTCATTAAAACAGAGTGCACAGAAAAGTTCAGAAAGGAGATTGGTTATAATGATAATTTATTCCTAATAATGGGAGCGCTGTGGACGAGTGATTGTTATACTCGTCGCAGCGCACATGGAGCCGAAATCCATGAACCCTCCCTCACCTTCCTCCGGCGGTCAGAAACAATGTCCTATGGAATGCCACAACAGGGCTATCCTCTAGAATGCATGGAAACTTGCTCAAACAGTATTCTATGCTATTCAAGAAGAAGACGAAAAACGATATGAATGCTGAAGTACTGGGATCCGCGCAGTGAAAAAACACTGCGATGACGGATCGAATAAGGAATTTTTTTGAGAATAAAAAAAAGATTCCTGATTCCAGAGAAAGGGAAATATCCAATTTACATAAACATCAATTCAATTGGTCACCATGAATTTGAACTAAAGATTCGTTATGTAATCAATGCAATCAATCAAAACAGTAGTTTGTCTTCACCTTGCTGCAGCAAAACATTCAAAGCAATTTCAACATTTTCACCCACAAACATTATTGACTTTATTGATATTTATTACTGCATAGGTAGATATTTATATGAAACCACTAACCAAATGATACCTGGTCTGCAACGATACGATAGCGATCAGGTTTTTTTTTTCGCACGGCCACCAGTTGGAATCTTGCTACTCGAAAAGCTACAGCATGCGGAGAATTGGTGAAATGCTTAGTAGTGCCAGCGGTGAACCTTATTTGTGACGTTTATGGGTATTGCCGCATGATGTAGGGTCGGAACTTTTCTGATCTGTCAAAGTACTTTTTTCTCTACAAAGGAGAAGCTTATTGTGGTTTAAAGTAGACACAAGCGTAAATGTTCTCAGTTCCAAGCGCATGTAGTGGAAATGATTAGGTTCTGAAGTCCTTCTTGAACTTATCAAAACATCATTTCCTCACACATAGAAGATTTTCCTGTGTGAACAGTTATATTCGGTAATAATGTCATTAACATCTGTGCGTGAGATAGCGATTTCCAGTCAATCGGTAATAACCACTAAGACATCTCGCTTGCAAGGATTAGATTAACTTTATAGAAAACTCAAACAGAAACTTTTCAGGCCAACCATGTAATATGGAAAAGTGACGTCAATTATGACTGCACAGTGAATGGAAGAAGCAGAGTGAAGCAATGTTGCAATCAGTTCACACGACTATGATACGGGACAAAGAACGCTGACACTTATCTGTACCATACCCGTCCGCATATTGTAAATCTTTACTATCAACGCCTTCTCGACTTGACATTGGGTAATTATAAAGAATAACGAAAACCGAGAGGAGAGGAAATTTACAAAACGTGAGAATAAATCGCTCTTAGGGGCTTTTTTAGACGGAAGATATCAAGAAAAGCTATTATTTTCTTTTTCATATTCATGTCCCCACTGTTTCTCCATTGTGTTTTGCAATCTTATCTCCTTGTCCTAATTTCTGTATTCATCGATACGATACGAAGTGGGGCATTAATGATATGAGTAGATAGTGCTTCACCATTGCTCGTTCGAAACTGACTAATTGCAGGTGTTAGTTAGACTCCGTAAAGAAAGTATTACTTCGAAATTCTAGCATTTTTACTGCTATAGGTGTTATGGTGTTGCATATATGTCTAAGAGAATTGAGTGATGAGCAAAAACACGGTTTCAAGCGCGAATCGAACCCGTGTTTCATCTTTTCCGGAGACGCGTTCTCTACCACTATACCACCGAGGCACATTTGCCCGACCACTCATTCTTCAACATCTCTATGTTAGCTATCAGCCATCAACCATTAACAGGTTTGGTCGGGTATGCGATTTTGTCGACTGTTCAGTTACGTTGATGAATTTTCAGAGTTTGGCATTGAAGCCCAAATTTTACTTGAATTTTTTTTTCCGTCGATGTGTATAGAATCAGTAATGCAGCTGAAGCATATTATTCTGAACTTGTATGGTCGTTGTAGTGAAAAAACTGCCTTAGACTCCCTCTTTACAATTCCTACTTACTATTTACCTTCGTTTCATAGAACAGTCGGAGTGAAAGAACCATTCACCGTAAGCCTGTAAACACACATCTTTTCAAGTAAAACTCAAAATCGAAAAAAAAACCATAGCAGTTTCGGAAGTACGCAACATTGTCAGCAAGATTTTAATCTTCTATTTACTTCTCTAATTTTTGACAGCATACAATGCGAAGAGCACATGTGGCGCAGTGATTAGAGGCGCTCTGCTTCGTGCATCAGGTCAATGGTTCTATCTCGCGCTCGTGGTTCGCCAAGTCATCCATTCCCTTGGGTCAGTATTTTGGTATCATACTGGTCTGAGACTTGTCTGGTCTGGGAGGATAAGAAGCACTGACTCGGTGCAGCGGTAAGCCACCGCGTGTCATTGTAAAGGCCAGATATGCATTCAATCACTTCAAACGTAAAAAAATGAAGTTAAAAATTGAAGACAAACTCATGACGCATCCCTCAAGGATTAATACACGCTGAGAGCTTTATCCTTTATCATTTATACAAATTGAAATGTAACTACTAGTATGCTGAGACACGAGCACAACTTCGAACCTTGTGTTTTCTAGCATGAACTCAAAACGCCACTGTGTCTTTCCAGGCGAAAAGACACAGCGGTAGTTCGACTTCATGACACAAACATCGAAGTACAAATTTTGCTCATATATCACCATTATTACGTTTGCTCTACCATCAAAAACTTTCAAAAGTTCGATCTGCCTACCTTTTCCAAACTTGAACATACGATCCGATGTCGACGCGAGTTCCATCCAAGTGGTAGGTCCCTCTCTCAAAGGTCCAGTCCCCGCTTCCAATCACTTCTTCAGTTTTAATCTGGAGGAATATGTTATTTCGTCTACACACAAAAAAAAACCACTGCTCTAGCAATCTACCTGAACAGTATGGATCCATCTAGCAAATCGCTTTTGAAGTACTTCTCAATGCCTGTATTTTCCTCGAAATTGTTTAGAGTCAAGGATTGTTACAGGGTGTCTAATAGAGATTTAAGCGCAAAATTGGGTTCACTTTACTGATAAAGGACTTGACTAATTTTTTTCCTAGGCCGACAGAAAAGTGAGGAAAGTGTTGATGGTTGCATTTTCATCATAATCGGTACTGATAAGGGATCTCATACTGCACTCATAGCTAATTTATGTCTTGAAGCAAGCGGACTCTTGCGCATAGCGCTCAGTGTGAAAAAGTACAGTTCACTGGTACATGGGTATCAAATATATGCTTTTTACAATGTCAACACGTCCTTTGACTGGCTTGCGCCTGTTTAGCGTAAAATGACCGTTTGGATCGTAGTAAGCTGCTGCTCCATTAGTATCTCCACTGTTGTAAGCTTTCATAAACGTCTGGTGGCGCATTTTTATTCGCTTCGAGAAAGGCTGAAATATCCAAGTACAAAGAATATGATGAATATTCATATAACTTATCCCTATATTTTATTTTCAGCAAGCGTTTATGACATGATAGGTTTCTCTACTACGGTTCCTGAGGCGGTTATGAGTTTTTCACAGCCTCGGTTGCTTTGATTCACCCCTTGAGCTCAAGATCGGTTCTACGTAATATCATAGATGCAATAGTATCGATGTGATATTGTGTACAAATGCTACTTTGACAAAGCACGATATGTCGAACCAGATATATCAGCGCAGTTCCTCTCAACCCTCCGTCATCAATGCTCGAAAGCAGTCAGTGAAAGGGTGGGAAATATCTAGGTGATTTACAGATTACTATGAACCCACAGAATGATTCTTTTGGCGCTTCCTCAATGGAAGATTTAGGTGTGAATGTTTTTTTCAAAATTGAAAGAATTTTTTGCGCAGTGAATTATGTAGAATTGCATAGAAAAGCGCTTCATTTATCAAAGTGATGCGGCCAACCTAGCGGACTGTTGACTATTCAATGGCCCGATGATTATTTTGAGAGCCGATAGCGGCAGTGAAACATTGGATAGAATTTGGTTGCAGTTCATGAACGGCCACCACCGCACACTCTACAGCATCAGTTAGTTGACAGTCGCTAGTGTGACCGTCTTTGTAGGTTTTTTTTCTAGCAACAACATCTCATAGTTTTTATTGACAGCATAAGAAGCTGATTGCATAAATGAATACGTTTGAGCTTAAATCTGAAGTCGAAGTACTCATCCGAATACTTATGTCCAATATTTTTCAATGGTACGCAGAATTTTCAACGTCAGGCGGGCATTGAACCTGAATTTATTTTTTCCGCGGCGTGTGCTGAACAATTGCACTACCAACGCTCCTGTTCTGCCATTACTTCTTCTGAGATATAGTGCATTAATAAGTACGCATAGTTGAGAAAAGAAGAGCGGTAAAGACGTTAATGTCACGACCTTACCAGAAGTATAAAAACCAGTTCGCAGAAATCTCAAGGTATTCTAGACCACTTCAAGAAAAGAAAGAAAGTTTAAGGGAGGGGGAGGTTGGACAAGTACTCAGACATGTCCTGATCAGGATAACAGGTTATTTTAATCGGTAACAGATAGAATCCTTATTCCACCTTGATCTCTTTTCTAATGACCTCACTTGTTGAAATGTATGGGACAGGAAAGATTTAATTTTCAGCAAATCTATGAACGATTTGGTTGACGTTCTTATTTCAAGTCTTTCATGAAGTTTATGAAAACACATGGAAAAGTAGGTTGCAAGTATACGTGCGTTATAGTTGAAAATCGTCACTTTCTTGTTTGGCAGCCTAAGTTAGCTCTGGGAATATGGCAAACTCTCCGTATTCGTTCTGCTCAACGAAGCCGTACCGGAGGCTCTTTCGGGAGTAAAGAAATGAGACTGCTTCTATTACTGTTTTCAGCATTTTGTACTTAACTCATGCCTTGCTGAGCACAAACTAAGGGTATGTGTGCTCACGGGTGGTCGCTTGCTAGTCTCTGCCGGAGAGACGTGAGGAGCTTATTTATTGGAAGCGACTTCTAACCGCCTCCCATGTACTTCCCAGCAGTCTGATTGCGTGCTTTGGCCAGTTTGATTCGTTGAAATGAAGTCACCTTAGAATGGTACAGCAGAAACAGGGAAATCATTGCTCTGAATCAATCTGCATCTCTTCGAAGCACACAGTCGACTTCGGTTCGTCATTAGTCAGCCTAACCACCATAAACCGGGCAGAGATCTCTCAAAAATGAGAATCTGTGGACAGAAGATAAAAAACCCGTTGTAGAACAGGAATAACGTAATCGGAAAGCAGAACCTTATCTTTTCTAATCGCAGAATGTAATATAGAAGCCCTTCAGCATTAAGATTAGTCTGAGAATCAGCATCTTCCAGACTATGAAGTGAGTACAAAAACATAGTTCATAGAGAAAGAAGAAAGTGTCATGTGACAACTGGAATTAAGTTTGTTTTCCAAGAGAAGTAGTTTTTTCGTCGAATCATAGAATAGTTTTCAGCAGATTGACGTTTTCTTCACCAAAAATCCCTCTATGTAAGCCTCTTTCGTAATCTTCCATTACTTCATGCTGATAATGTGCTCTCAGAACCTCAATAAACAATCTAATTTCCATTTCCATAACAGCGCGTGATGATACCAAGCCGCAGCGGCCGCTGCGAGTCAAGTAGTTAAGAAGAGAGGAGTTACGAAGCCAGAGAGAAAATCGCTCTTGATGGCTTCCGTAGGCAGAAGAGATTGAAGAAAGCCATTCGTTTCTTTTCCGCTTGTTTTATTCCCATGTCTCCACTATTCCTCTACTACATTGCAGTACCCTATCTACTTGTCTAGTTTTCATATCCATCAATATGATATGAAGTGGGACATCAGTGCTATGAGGATGTGCTGCTTCATTAATGCCCGGTTGAAACTGACTGATAGCAACTGTTAAGTTGGACATATGTAATTCCACAGCTTGACCCGGAAGCCCAAATCCTACTTCAAATTTTATCGCTGATACGAATATATCAGTATTACGATTGGAGCAGAGTATTCTGAACTTATGTTAACGACATAATGGATAAACTTTTCCAAAATTCTTTACTGCATAAGTTCTCTTAGATTGCGACAATCTGGATTTCTATATGAAAGGACTATTGACATATCGCTTTAACAACGAATCGTCATTTGAAACGGCGTTTTGAGGAATGGCACTTATCAGCTGTCTTCACTTCGTTGGAGCACTCGTAGTGAACAATCCATTCAACGTCAACCTATAACTTCGTTGTAAAAATTCATACACATCTTTAAAAAAAAACACAAAAATGGGAAATGCATAAGTTTACACGACAGCGCAAAACTGTATCATCTATTCGTGTCATAGAATCAAATCGCTACTGCGCCTTTCCAGGCGCCCTAATCCGAAAAGACACAGCGGCAGATCGTGTCGATGAAGCAAAAACATCAATTTCCCGTTTTGTCTATAACTCACATTCTTGCGATTATTCTGTCATCAGAAAATTTCTATGAAATTCATTCTGTCTACCTTCTTCCAGATTTGAATATATGATCCCGTTAATCTGCTGCGAGTCCCATCTGAGTGACAGGTTCCTCTCTCAAACGCCCAGTCGCCGCTCCCTACCACTTCTTTAGTGATTATCTGTAGGAATGTTTGATTTTGTTCAGACACTTCCACAAAGGACAAAACTCTAGTAATCTACCTGATAAGTATAGTAACCATTTGCCAAATCCTCTTCGAGGTACTTCTCAAGGCCTGCAGTTTTCCTCGTAATATAGCACGTTCTAAATCGTGAAG